AGAAAGTAGCTCTACTAAAATAAAAAAAAGATCGTCGACCGTGGACTTTAAACGTCCAAAGCTCCTCCAATAGTCGCACCTCAGACCCGGGACCTGGATCATTCGAAAGAGAATACTCAGGGCTATCGATGGACCAAATTTTGAAAAATCCGACACGACACCCCCCTTTGATGTCCCTAAGTACAAGCTCTTCCTAAGTGCATACCATGGTGGCTAGAACCAACTTCCAGCTGCATCCATGCCTAACATTAGATCCCAAAACTCAATGAAAAAAAAAAAAAAAAAAAAAAAAAAGAACAGACCCACCCGCTCTCTTGTTCCACTTTTCATTTTTTTTTTTTTTTTTTTTTTTTTTTTTACTTCACACCAATGTCTCTTTTTCATTTTTGCTCCCCCACTCACTCTTTTTCTCTCTCTTTTTTTTTTTTTCACTTCACACCACTTCACAACTTACTCTCTTTTTGTCTCTGTCTCTTTTTCATTTTTGCTCCCCCACTCTCTCTCTTTTTTTTTTCTTATTTTATTTTCTTTTTTTTCGATCTCTCATTCTGTGCCCTCAAACTCGCTCTCCCTTTTTATTCTCTCTTTCATTGAGTTCCCCCCCTACTCGCTCACATTTTCTTACTCCATCTCCTTTCGTTCCCACAGTCGAAGACTATGCACTTAGAGGAGGCTACTCCACTGTGATTTTTTTTTTAAACGTCCATAACTCCTCAAATACTGGGACCAGAGACCTGGGACCAAGCTCATTCGAAAGAGGATACTCTGGGCCACATTGCAGTTTAGTTCACAATCACGTGCTACGATGAAAAAATATTTTCTTACTCTCGACCGGGAACTTTAAACGTCCATAGCTCCTTCAATTCTGGCATCTGTGGCCTGGGGCCTAGCTCGTTCGAAAGAGGATGCTCAGGGCTACCGATCCACAAAATTTCACAAAATCGACACAACCCCCCCCCTTCGATGTCCCTAAGCTCAAGCCTTATCCAAGGGTCAAATTTGGTGGCAAGAACCAGCCGCCACCAATACCCTGTACTGCGTACTGAGACTTAGGTGTGCACCTCCTTGACTTCAGCGTACGTAGAAAACATCTCTAAACACAATTCGTGCCTTAGTGGATTACCGTGTCTAAAAATAAGTTATCCTTTGTTAATGTGAATAAAAAAAAAATATAAGAATATAGGAATAAAAAGTAAAAATTACAGCACAGAGTATTCCCATGTGGTCCCCCACCATAGTACTGACTCTGCCATCGATTTCTTAACTGCGCAGATCGGACGGGATGCGGTGATTTTAATCGTGTATGGCCGTAATTCGGAAATATAGAATTCTGTTGCTGCTTTTGTCTCTACTTTTTGACAGTTAAGCTCGTCTCTAGTTCATTCATGCTCATTTCTAGGACATTCATTCATACTCGTCGCTTGATCCTTCTCATTCTTCACTCATGTTCATTTTTAGGTCCTTCATTCTGACCTCATGTTCCTTTCTAGGTCCTTCATTCTTCATTTCTAGGTCCTTCATTCTGCACTCCTGGTCATTTCCAAGGCATTCACTTCTAGGACAATTTAATTCAACATGTCAACATGATGGTAACGTTCAAATCCCACGACCCTGAGGGTCCTTGTTATCCTCTTCTTCTCTTTTTTTTTTATCTTTTTTTTTTTTTCTTTATGGGGTGGTGTGGGAATTGGTGTGGGATGGTGTGGGATGGTGTGGGATGGTGTGGGGTGGTGTGGGAATTGGTGTGGGAATTGGTGTGGGATGGTGTGGGATGGTGTGGGATGGTATGGGCAGAAAGTGGTATGGACGGAAAGTGGTATGGAGAAAAAAAAAGGTATGGACAGAAAGTGGTATGGTGAAGAAATGAGAGTAACAGAATTGATACAAGTTACCTTATCTTCGGTATCCATGTACTCTTGCTTATCTAATAAGAAAGTTGACATTATCAGCAAAAAGGTCATGGGGCCAGCACTGCATTGAGACATGGTGTGTGAGTTATAGAGAATACAGAATGTTGCATGGCCAAAGTAATCAATAAATTAAGATGTAGATCGTAGGACAGAAAAGTGATGAGCAAAAAGTCACCTGAAGAAAATTAGCGTAGACAGCAAAGTCAAGTGTAGAAAAAGGAGTGTAGACAACAAAGCCACAGCAGGGCCAAATGTAGGAAACACTTTTCTGCACGTGCAGTGTCCTCAAATTGGGACAGTGCACTAAAGAAAAATATGAGGGACGCCTGAAAGAACCCTGCTTAGCTTATGAGGGGACACTGAACTAATAATAAGAAAAAAATAAAACAGAGGTGTAAGAGGAATAAAAGGAATAACCAGAATGGCGTAAAATTCAGTGGCAGGAAGTGAGGCGAAAAAAGAACTCAGTGCTAGGAAATGAGGCAAGAAAAAAATTCCAGTGGTAGGAAGTAAGAAATACAGTGGTTGGAAGCGAGAAATTCAGGGGTAGGAAGTGAGAGAAGAAAAAATTCAGGGGTGGGGGAAGAGGTAGGAAGTGAGACAAAAAGATTCAGGGGTGGAAGTGAAAGGAAGTAGTAAAGCGTAGAGGGTAGGACAAGATCTAAAATGTACAAATAGCATAGTCAATGTGAGTGGTGCGAATGTGGTATGAATGTGAATGTGAGTGGTGTGAATGTGAATGTGAGTGGTGTGAATGTAAATGTGAGTAGTGTGAATGTGGTGTGAATGCAAATTTACATTGTCGAGATGAAAAAATTACAGAGAAGACAGCAAAACCAAGTGCTTTTCTGCAGTGTGTTGCTCAGCTTTCAGATGAACTTATTAAAAAAATGGTGTAAAGTGAAAAAAAAGGTGGCAATAAGCAGAAAAAAAAATGTCGATAAACACAGAGGGAGTGAGAACGACTTAACATTGCAAAACGTTACGAGCACGTTCAGTGGCAAATAATATCAATACAAATGACTGCTTGATGTAGTTTTTTTTTCCACGTTGCCACGCTCGTCCTTTCATTCTTCAGCTTTGCAAAGCGAAATCCAAAACATGCAAGGAAAGGAAGGAAAAGCAAGGGCGAGGGAAAGAGTGCCCACAGGAAAAAAAAAAAAAAAAGGGCAAGCAACGTGCGGATGCGCAACATTCATGGACTAGGAAGGTCCTTACATCGAAAGAGCCGCAGCACTAGAAAACCTAAACATATAGTAAGCAGAGAAATCATGAATTGGAGTCAATTAACAAAAACCGATTTGAATCCCATTGTCGCGAATCAATTAACAAAAACCGATTTGAATCCCATTGTCGCGAATCAATTAACATGAACCGATTTGAATCCCATTGTCGCGCGAATCAATTAGCAAAAACCGATTTGAATCTCAAAAGCTTTGCAACACAGGAGAGCAAGTGAGTAAAACGAGGAAATACCAAAAGAAAAAAGAAAGAGCACTTACCGACGGAAAAAGATGAAGGGAAATTGGATAAACAAGAAAGAGATGAATGGACGAAAGAACCGGAGAATGTCAAAAAAAGTAAGAACTGAATAAGATAAGAGGCAAAGTTGGATGTGTGAAGTGACGGAAATGGGCAAAGGAAGAGAAGAAAAGGACAAAGAAGAAAAAAATGTCATGAAAAATGGTCTGTGCGAGATGACGAACACCACTTCGTAAGCTCTGAATAAGTGCCAAAAATATATTAAGGAAGTATCCATACACAAAATAATAAAACAATCGTGTATGGCCGTAATTCGGAAATATAGAATTCTGTTGCTGCTTTTGTCTCTACTTTTTGACAGTTAAGCTCGTCTCTAGTTCATTCATGCTCATTTCTAGGACATTCATTCATACTCGTCGCTTGATCCTTCTCATTCTTCACTCATGTTCATTTTTAGGTCCTTCATTCTGACCTCATGTTCCTTTCTAGGTCCTTCATTCTTCATTTCTAGGTCCTTCATTCTGCACTCCTGGTCATTTCCAAGGCATTCACTTCTAGGACAATTTAATTCAACATGTCAACATGCGACGATTACCGCCTTTTCCGATAATTAGTTGAATACGAATAGAGCTTCGGCTCCTGAATCATGCTACGTGGGGTGATCTTGTGGAGCGGAAAGGCTTCATGAGGTTCCTGCTAATGTTAATTTCAAATATTGGAAGAGATAAATCCATTGCAGACGACTTTTAAGCAACGGTGTACTGTAAGCTGTAGAGTAGCCTTGTTGCTACGATCGGCTGAGGTTAAGCACTTTTTGTTGCACAGATTTGTTCGAAAGAACAACATCTCTCTTTCCTTCTCTTTCTTTTATTTATTTTTATTTTATTTTTTTTCTTTTTGAAGCCTACTTAAGGGCTGTATAAGAATACATAAAGACAGACTTCGAATCGGATTGTTTATTGCTTCTGTCGCTCTGCCTGCATTTGTGTGTGTTTCCTCGCTTTTATTGCTTTTAAAGCCCTTGTTCTTGACGTTGCCTCGCATTCTCCTTATCCTGCAAAATGGCTTCCACCGTGGCTTGAATTGCAGGCCGTACCTGTTTTTTGTTAATGTCGCGGATAACTCCACATAATCCGCTTGCTAACATTACTAAAATTGTAGAAGCCTCAGCATTGTCAGTCAACTTCAGTTTTTTTTTGTTCGAGGGGATTAATTCCAGGAGTTCCATTATGGCGTTTTTCGTAACAGGTGCTTTTTGACTTTGGTCGGGACTATCAAGCTTTCGAAGTAGCTTTAGTAGTCGCTTTCGCTTGATTGATCTTGTATTCGCAATCTGATGAAATATCGATGCAGCTGCCTTTACCCCCGATATGACCCTGCTGCCTTGGTAATAGTTCTCCAGTCGAAAGATTGTTGTAGGGTAGCATGCCCAGTTTGCAAATAAATAGAACATTGACGCACTCTGAAAGTACGTTGCTTTACAATGGAATTTTGACCTCAGCTGCCTTTCAAGTAAAAGGTTTTGTTGCCAGTCATCCCGGCCCCAAATTGTGGTATATGCTCCAATGTGGGCAGTTGAGTTATTAGCTCCAACGTCAATGGCTCCTGAAACCAATTCAATTGAAGCCGTAATAAGGGCGCTCCATGTGTGAGTTCCAATCACGAGCTTATTGGTGTTGTCGTGGTTAATTGAAGACACTCTCTTCAAATCCAGAGTTGGCTTTAATAGATCGAAGCAATGAGGGTCTTCCTTTGGTTCACGACCATAAACTTCAGCCTTCAAGATGAGGATCGCTTGCAATCCTGTTTGAATTACTGCTCCTGCGAGATTTTTGGCAATATCGAATTTCAAAGCCTCATAGTTTAAAAGAAAGAATGTTGCATCTAATGGCTTGTAACGCTCAATATCAATTAGACGACCATACCGATGCGATGATAAAAGGAACTTGAAGTCTTTTGGCTCCATGGAAGAAGGCTTCTTTGGCTTCTTGATAGGATTGATGGCAATGATCTGATCTTCGGCTGTCCGCTTTGCTCCAATTTGAGTTAATAGAGCTATAGATCGAGCTCCACTTTCATGTTCCAGTGAAAAAGGGACCAGGGTCTCGAGAAAACAGTCGGAAAAAATTGGATTCTTCGTTGCAAGGTCAAGCTCCGCCTTTCCTTGCTTTAGCACCTCAATGTCATCTGAGGCATCGCTTTCTGCCAGCTCGCGAGGCTGTGTATGGGCACCGAAATGGTGGTCCAGTTCCAGTGCCGATTTCAGTGTTTCTCCGCATATGGGACAAACAAATCCCGAATCATTCTTTTTTCCATGTCTATTTGTATGCTTCGTTATGCCATCTCTTGTTTGGATGGGCTTACTGCAAACTGGACAGACGAAACAACCTTGTACACGCATTAAGACAATTGACTCTTTGATCCCTTGTTCATTTACCAGCCACACTTTGCACTTCCTTGAGTGGTATTCACGTATATGCAGCTTTGCTCCTTCTTTGTCTTTAGATACTTCCTGACATTGCGGGCAAGATAATCCTTTATCATTAGGCATTTTTTAGCGCTGGTAAAATGGTGCCAAAGAAAAATAGAATAAGTCAGAGACAGACAGCAAAATAAAGTACAGAACAAAGTTTAGAAAAAAGAACAGACAGCAAAATAAAATACAGAAAAAACAGAAAAGAACAGACAGCAAAATGAAATACAGAAAAAAGTACAGAAAAAATACAGACAGCAAAATAAACTACAGAAAAAATAAAGACAACAAGCCAAAAAAAAAAAAATCTTGAACAGAGCGCACGTTTAGAAAAGGGGTGTTACAATAATTCAGTGTTTAGTTTGGGAAGAGGGTTTTTTTTTGGATTGCAAACCCGTTCACTTCAAAAGAGTCATTGGAGAGCAAAGGGTTACAAGAGGGAACATCCTGTGATTTTAGGAGAAATGAGATGCAAGCAATAAAAAAAACGCTGAAAAACAGAAAAGAGAAGAGTAGAAAAAGTCGTGGACTGAGTGCATGTAAAAAAACACTGCAATAGACAGTGATGAACAACAAAAAAAAAAGTACAAACGAAGGTGTGCTCCCTTACATCAAAGCAGCAACGTTTTTTTTTTTTTGTCAGTCCAAAGAGTCGCAACGCGGGAATGTCAGTAAAACAAGAGAACACCAAAAGAAAAAGGAAGGCTTGAGTGTATTGAAAAATGAGAGAATGCTTTCAGTTTGGATAACTAGAAATGAAGTAAAGGTTTTGGGAGAGTTGAGTAAAATGTGAGAAAGTGAAAAGTGGATGATGTGACGAAAGGAAGGAGAGAGGGAAGTAGAAGAGTGTTCTGAAAGAATAGTAAAAGATGCGGGAAGGAAGAGAAGAAGAAAGAGAGTGGGTTTGAGGACAAGGAAGAATAAAAACATCGTGAGAAAAAAGAAAAAAGAGAAAAAGAAATGGCCCTGAAAATGATCTTTGCGAAATGACGTGTATTCAATGTGGATGTTGGTGTGTAGTTGGTGACAGTTGGTGTCTGCCAAAAAAAAAATTTAAAAAGGGGCAGTGAGACATTTTTTTTACACGAACAGAAGGGAGATAAATTAACACTGTTGTCTTTTTTTTTTTTTTTTTTGAAGATTGCAAAACCGTTCCGTTCAAAAGAGGGGAGTAAAGGGAGAAACAGAACCAGAACAAGAGGGCGTCCAATGATGTAAAAGAAATGAGATAAAAAAAGTGCTGAAAAAAAGAAAAAGAAAGAGTTGAGTGCACCAGAAGAATGAAAAGATCCTGTTGCAGCGAAGGAAACACTTGTGGCAGAGAGAGGAAGAGAGAAGGTGTCAGCTTTTGCAAGGAGAGGGAAAAAAAGAGAGAGGAGGATGGAGGATATCAGTTGCTGCAGAGAGAGAAAAAAAGGGAGAAGAGGGTGCAGAAAGAGAGGGAAGAGGAACAATGACAAAAAGAAAAGAAAGAAAAGGCCAAAAGCAAATCGAGAGAAAAATAAAATGAATGAATGTGAAATGGCCCCTGAAAATGGGTCTGTTCAGGATCATGTGCTTTTTGTATTCTTGCCTTCTTTTTATTTTTTTATTCTTTCTTTTTTATTTTCAATTTTTTCGCCAATGAAAATAAAAAATTTACTAGTAGCATACCAAATCACAACCACAAAAAGACCCGTATCTCCACCAATACTGGGGCCTATGGCCTGAGACTTTAACCACTGGAAGATATTACTGGATTCTCACAGCTATTAAAATTTGAAGCGATTCCGTCGGCTCAGTGACGAATGACAAGCCAAAGAGTGATGGAACACATTTCATCAACATGTTCTTCACTAGAAATAACAGAGAGTAACTCTACTAAAATAAAAAAAAGATCGTCGACCGTGGACTTTAAACGTCCAAAGCTCCTCCAATAGTCGCACCTCAGACCCGGGACCTGGATCATTCGAAAGAGAATACTCAGGGCTATCGATGGACCAAATTTTGAAAAATCCGACACGACACCCCCCTTTGATGTCCCTAAGTACAAGCTCTTCCTAAGTGCATACCATGGTGGCTAGAACCAACTTCCATGCCTAACATAAGATCCCAAAACTCAATGAAAAAAAAAAAAAAAAAAAAAAAAAAAGAAGAGGTTATCATCAAAACGAAAAAGGAAACACAATCTCTTTTTGTCCAAAAAAAGACAATCGATCTTTTTTTTCGTCCAAAAATGGACGATCGATCTTTTTTTCGTCCAAAAATGGACAGTCAATCTTTTTTTCAGCCAATGAGAACTAAAGATTTTTGTGTAACATAACGAATCACAACCACATAAAAACCCATATCTCCTCCAATACTGGGGCCTGGGGCCTCATCTTTGGATCATTCGAGAGGGAATCAAAAGCTCTCACAGCTACTCAAATTTCAAAAAGATCTACCTAGGACACCATGGAGAAAACCCAGTTAGAGTGCTCAGTCTAGAAGAAATCATCAGAAAAGTTAAAAGTTTCCACAGAAAAAGTTTCCACAGAAATAACTGGCTTGTGGCAGCCAAGCGTTCATAGCGACGTTGCTTTTTGATCCTTCGATGTCGGCTCTTCCTATCATACTGAAGCAGAATTCAGTAAGCGTTGGATTGTTCACCCACTAATAGGGAACGTGAGCTGGGTTTAGACCGTCGTGAGACAGGTTAGTTTTACCCTACTGATGAAATGTTGTTGCAATAGTAATTGAACTTAGTACGAGAGGAACCGTTCATTCGGATAATTGGTATTTGGGCCTGCCTGAACAGGCAATGGCCCGAAGCTATCATCCGTTGGATTATGGCTGAACGCCTCTAAGTCAGAATCCGTGCTAGAACGCGACGATTACCGCCTTTTCCGATTTTTAGTTGAATACGAATAGAGCTTCGGCTCCTGAATCATGCTACGTGGGGTGATCTTGTGGAGCGGAAAGGCTTCATGAGGTTCCTGCTAATGTTAATTTCAAATATTGGAAGAGATAAATCCATTGCAGACGACTTTTATTGAACGGGGTATTGTAAGCTGTAGAGTAGCCTTGTTGCTACGATCAGCTGAGATTAAGCCCATTGTTCTACAGATTTGTTCGAAAGAACAACATCTCTCTTTCCTCTTCTCTTTTAATTTTTTATTTTATTATTGCAACGTTAATTAAGGGGTACATACTTGATATAAATGTTGTGATATGGGATAACATGTCATTTTCCTTAAGCTGATCTCTTGATGAGCATGGCATTTACAACGGCTTCGATATTGGGAACCACCCGATTTTGGTTTTTGGTCTTAATGGTGTCGCACATTGTGTTTGCCAATTTTCTCAACAGATTGGAGACTTCATAGTTCTCGATCACTCTCAACTTTTTATGTCCTGATGGAGTTAATCGCAAAAGTTCCATGATGATGTCTCGAGTCAACGGAGCGTCCTTAATTTTGTCATTTTTGAGGATCTTTTCTAGACTTTTCTTTTTGATTGTTTTTTTTTTGACCGATAAAGCTGGTGGAACAACGTTGCCGAAGCTTTTATCCCTGTCATTGTAGTTTTTTCCGAGAAATGATTAATGACACTGTAAATCGTTATTGGGAGACATGACCACTCGGAAAATAAGTAGAAGACTGAGGCGCTTTTTGTGTTTGATATGGAATTTTGATCTGGTTTGTCTTTCGATCAAGGGATTCAGCTCCCGGTCCTTACGACCAAAAATTATTACTTGTGAGGCAATGTTCGCTGTCAAGTTGTCGGCTCCGACGTGGATGGCTCCTGATGTGAGCTCGATTGATGAAGTTATAAGGGCATTCCAGTGAAGTGTGCCGATGATGAGTTTGTTCGCGTTATCATGATGGATTATGGATACCTTTTTGACATCTAATGTAGGCTTCACTAGGTTAATTCTATGTGGATCTCCGCTCGGTTCCCGCCCATAAACCTCGGCCTTTAGGATGAGGATCACCTGGGATCCGGCTTGGATAAGGGCTCCTGCTAGGTTCTGGGCAATGTTGGACTTGCAATCACTGTAATTTTGCAGATAGAACGCCAGGTCTAGTAGCCTGTAATCTTCCATCTCGATTAGCTTCCCATGTCGATTTGATGCCAAAGTTATTTCCAGATCTTCAAACTCTGTGGGTGCCTGCACTTTTGGTCTTTTGATTCGCTCTATCTCAACGATTGGGCTGGATTCTGTCCTTTTTGCTGAAATGGGAGTAAACAATACCATTGATTTCGTTCCATCTTCGTGTTTGAGCGCGAACGGTTCAAGCATATCCAAAAGGAAGTTTGACAAAATGGTGTTCTTTGTGCAACGATCAAGTTCCAATTTTCCCTGCCTCAGACTTTCAACCCCTGCTTCGTCGTCCTCTGCTGGGCCTTCCAAGACCTCCCAGGATTCCAAATGTGCGTCATCATAGTGCTTGTCTAAATCCTGTGCCGTTACGAACGTCATGTTGCAAATGAAGCATGGGTTGCTTGGGTTATCGGTCTTGACCACATCTGTAATAAGATGGCCATTTGTATGCTGGAGAATTTCTTTCCTGCCTTCAATTCCAGTCTCGTTACAGACTGGACAAGTAAAACAACCATCCACGGATTTCAAAATAACGCGGGTGGTTTCCCCTCCAACAACAATAGAAACAAGGACCTTGCCAGGATGGCGATCTCGTTTGTGATTTCTCAACCGCAATTGACTATCACAAACTTTACCGCAGGATACACATTCAAAATTTGTTGGCTCTGACATTGTGATCTGGTAAAAAATAAATAAATAAATAAATAAATTAAAGCGATGTTAGTGCTTGAAAACAAATGATGAAGCAATGCGAGAAGAAATAAGGATCTTAAAAGTGATTGTAGAGTGAGCGCTGGAAGTCATGTAAGCAATGTAAAAAGTGGAAGTGGTGGAAAAGTGGTGGAAGTGGTGGAAAAGTGGTGGAAGTGGTGGAAGTGGTGGAAAAATGGTGGAAGTGGTGGAAAAGTGGTGGAAGTGGTGGAAGTGGTGGAAAAGAAGTGGTGGAAGTGGTGGAAGTGGTGGAAAAGAAGTGGTGGAAAAATGGCACAGTTTTTTTTTTCCCATGCTTGTCGTAACAACCAGAACATGAAGAAAGGAGGGTTCCAGCACAAGCAAGGCGGGTTTGAGACAAAGGAGAGTTCGAGCACAAAAAAAGAGCACAACAAAAAAAAGAAAGACGGTTCCAGCACAAAAAAAAAAAAGAAAGGCGGGTTCGAGCTCAAAAAAAAAGAAAGGTGGGGGGGACATGGACATGAGCATGAGCATGAGCATGATGCTGGACATGATGGGCATGCCAGAATGATGGACAGAATGATGGACAGAATGGACAAAATGATGGACAGAATGATGGACAGAATGGACAAAATGATGGACAGAATGATGGACAGAATGGACAAAATGATGGACAAGCAAAATAAATCTGTTAAGGGTGGCAAAAGACAAAGTACTTTTGAGCCATTGAAAAAAAAAGGGAACAAACAAGTCAAATGGCAAGGCAGAAAAGAGTGAAAAAAAAAAAAAAAAAAATTGGTGTATAGTGGTGAATAATGGGTGTATAGTGGGTGTATAGTGGGTGAATAATGAGCTTTCTCTAAAAAAAAAAAAAAAATTAGGGGCGGAACTGTTGAGGTACTTTTGAGCCGCGGAGGGGAACTTTTGAGCCTCTGGTTGGGTACTTTTGAGCCGCGGTGGGGTTCTTTTGAGCCTCAAAAAGCCACTGTGCAGTTTTTTCTTTAAGGGCATGCGACTATCTCTACCCATAAACTGTTTTTACTTTTTTATTTCTTTCCCTTCTACGATTTTTGACCTCTCCCAATTCGTGCGGTCGATGGAACTGTTTTTTTTTTTTTTTTTTTTTTTTTCTATCAAAACCAACTACTCTCTTCGTGAGTAAGGGCCCTGCAATGAAGAAATGAAGGCAACACCTGTTTCAAAGAGAGGAAAAGTAAAAAAAAAAAAAAAAAAGAGAGCGAAGGTAATACCTGTTGCAGAGAAGGAAACACTTGTGGTAGTAAGAGGAAAGAAGAAAGAAGTCAAATGACAATGCAGAAAATAAAATGTCGGGTGAAAAAAAAATAAAAAAAGAGGGAAAAAGAGAAAAAAAAAAAAGAGAGAAGGTTTAACTTGTTGCAGAGAGAAAAAAAGAGAGAGGAAACAACTATTGAAAAGAGGTGACAACCGCTGCAGAGAGAGACACCTGTGGAAGAGAGGAAAAAAAAAAAAAAAATCTATTTGTCTGCAATTGACAGTGATGGACAAGCCAAAAAAAAATTTAAGCGCAGTGCAATTTTATTAAGGGTGATGACTATTCCTTTGCTCTACCCACTTTTTTTTCTTTATTCATGTCTAAAGAACCTTCACAGAGAGCAAAGAAAAATCGAACCAAAAAGTGCAAGACCAAGTCACAATCCAAAAATAAAAGGCAGAAAAATGGACAAACTAAGAAAAAAACCTCGAGTGAAGAGCTGTTTCCTTACATTAACTCAACAGCGATTTTATTGACAAAGTCCAAAGAGTCGCAACACGAGAGAGCAAAGCAGGGAAATGATTACACCAAAAGAAACTAAGAGCACCGAGAGAAAGAAAAAAAAAGCCGAAGAAAGTGAAAAGTAATAAAATGAAAAAAGAGAAAAGAGGAAGAAGAGAGAGAGGAGCGCGGTGGGAGTGTCCTGAAGAGTGAAAGATGGAAAAAGTAAAGAAGAAAGAGAGGAAGGCATTGAGGACAGGAGGAATAAAGAAAAGATCATGAGAAAAAAAAAGGGTCAATCTGAAATGAATGGGCTGTGAAAATTGATCTATGCGAGCGTAGGAGAGAGAAAAGAAAAAAAAAAAAAAAAAAACAGCTGTTGCACCATTCATTGGGTTGTGGAAAAGGTAACGCCTGTTGCTGTGGGGATAAAAAGAGAGAAAAGGGAAGCAGTTGCTGCAGAGACAAAAAGAAAAGAAAGAATGATGGAACACATGTCATCAACATTTTCTTCACTAGAAAAAAAACACAAGTAGCTCCGTTGACATGAAAAATAACATTTCTTTTACTCTGGACCGTGGACTTTAAACGTCCATTGTTCCTCCAACATTGGGACCTCAGACCTGGGACCTGGATCATTCGAAAGAGGATACCCGGGGCTACCGATGGACCAAATTTCGAAAAATCCGACACCCCCTTTGAAGTCCCTAAGTGCAAGCTCTTTCCAAGTGCATACAATGGCAGCTAGAACCAACTTCTGACGTCCTTTATGGTTCCCAGCTCCATCCTAGCAAAAAGCTAACAAACCTGGTGGCTTTGATGCATTCCATATGGTCAAAAAAAAAAAAAAAAAAAAAAAAAAAAAGGTAGCCTATCGTCATAGCTCTGCCAAAATCAAAAAAAAATCTTCGACCGTGGACTTTAAACGTACATAGATCCTCAAATACTGGGATCTGAGACCTGTGGCCTGGATCATTCGAAAGAGGATACCCAGGGCTACCGATCAGCCAAACTTCGAAAAATCGGACACGACACCCTCCTTTGATGTCCCTAAGTGCAAGCTCTATCCAAGTGCATACCATGGTGGCTAGAACCAGTTTCCAGCTACATCCGTGCCTAACATAAGACCCCAAAACTCATTCGTAAGTTCACCAAAGCTGTGTTCATGTCGTCACCGGATGTGCGCAAGTGTAAACATGCCATGACTTCCATCTCTTTCCTCCCTGTCTCGCATGTTTTATAAGTAGAACAGGGGAACTGATATACGCTATTGCTGATTAAAGAACTTTTTTTTTTATTAGCACCTACGATCCGTTTATTTCCGAAACTATACTTGCTGCCACTAAACGATTTTTGTCTGAAATCATGGGAGAGAAAATCTGAGCCAATTTCATAAGAAGGTCTTCAGCGTCTTTGTTTCCAGAAATGGTTATCCGATGGCCATTGGTGAAGAGTCCCCTGAGACTTCGTATCACTTCTGCAGATTTGGTGTTGTCGCTATCCTCTGGCACGTCTACGTCTCTAATATGGAGAACGATTTTGGCCTTATTCCTTTCTCTCGCTCGAATTGCGAGCTGTCTAAATACATTGCAGTTTGGGACACCTCTCTGTGACAACGTGAAGATAGACACGGGCATCAAAGAGGGTGCTCCGAAGCCTTGCAACGCCCCGCGACGGGATGAATAGGTGGTTAAATGCCCAAATCCACTTCTTATTTGGGCTAGACCAAGTACATCACCTTGGAGCATGTACGCATCCTGTAGTTGTCTCTTAACGTTCATCTTCGTTGTGTGATTAACTGGAAAATCTGCGCAGCGTTTGGGCCCGACAAGTGCCTCCCTACCACAGAGACTAGAAGTAACCAGATAGTTATATCCTCTTACGCCGATCACTAGCTTCCTATTGCTGAACAGATCTGGGACTTGCACAATTTTAAGTCTCCCTTCGTATTGTGTGGCAGGGCTGATTGTTGGCAAGCTTGTCGGGCGTATTTTCGTCGACTCTGCATGCGGATCTTCGACTGGATCCCGGTTGTAAACTTCCGCGCATAGAATCCGTAGCCGACGTGGCCCTGTTTCTAGTATCGCCCCAAGAACTCGCTCCAATCCTATCATGCCACCAATTTCGATTGAAGGAAGAGTATCTTCTGAAACGGGTACATGGGTTACCTCCAGATCAATGTC